CGGTCTTTGCTTATACTATAACTTTTTCAGAAATTTGAAAATGGCGCATTAACCTCACTTTGCAATGAGCACACAAGCCTGCATACGCGTGTCCCGCAGTGGACTGATCGTTAAGACACGGTTCCCAGCAGATCACTGAAGTCGAGCATCACTGGCTGCGGTCAGTGTGCGGGTGGGTGACCACTTAGATAAATCTGCGTAGGGACCGAGGGTGCGCGGTATGGGTCCTCGTTAAACTGTGCTACCGTAAAGTGCTCGACTTCGCGCGCAGGTCGTCGGGCTACCGAAGCGGGGGTGCCATCCCCTCTGCAGAGGATCAAAATTGTGATGGTCCTCCAATAGTCCATTGCGCAGTTCTAGTGCAACGTAAATGAACTAAGAAGAAGAAGCAACAGAAACTTGAAAATGGCACATTAACCTCACTTTGTAATGAGCACACAAGACTGCATACGTGTGCAAATAAATTAATAAATGAGTCGAGCCTCCGTGTCCGAGGGGTATTGTCGTTCAGCTAAACGCATAAGTATGGAAGCAGCCTATAGGAATATTGCTTTAACTTTGGAATATCTCTTTGTACTGTTCATCTCTAACTTGTTCTACTCTAACTTGCTCTATGGTTTTGTATAATTGGTTATTGAGACACCTGTTAGATGTCTGTATATTTATTTGTTAGTCCTACAGTGGACTGATCGTAGGATATTGGTCCCTGTAGATCACTCAGGGGCTGCGTTTAGTGAGCGGGTGGGTGACCACTTTGATCAGTCAGCGGAGGAATCGAGGATGTGCGGCCTCGTTAAACTGTTTTACCATAAAGTATTCGATTTTGATTACAGGTCATCGGGCTACAAAGCCATCCCATCTGCAGAGGATCGAAATTGTGGTGGCATATATTCGGGACGTCATTAGAGATCTTTCCCAGATCGTCGCCAATCGCCCACTGCACAATCGCTCTAGTGTGACGTAAATAAAGCACTACTACTGATTCAAATCATCGGCTATTTTTGAGATGCGTGTTATATGTTTATTTATTTATTTGTTTCCCATGCATGTGTGTGCTCATTGCAAAAAGTCCTCGTCGGAGCAGTGGTGGCGCAGGGGATAGAGCATTCGCCTTTCAATTATATGAACCGGGTTTGAAACCCAGAGATGGTTGGTCGATACGAATTCCGCATCCGGCATTCCGCATCAGCACCGACCACAGTACTGATTTAAAATATCCTCAATGGTAGATGATTCATGGAGTTCTCTTGCCATGAGGCTAATCGTGGGAGGTTTTCGTGGTTTTCCTCTCTATGTAAAGCAAATGAGGGTTAACTCCATCAAAAAGTCCTGCATGAAGTCAAATTTCTCTGAATACTTGATATAGGAGTTCCATTATCTTTTGAATTGGGTTCAAAATTACAAGGCTACGGAGTTGAGTATTAACAGTCGTGAATCCAAAATTTGGTCGGCTTTTCAACGGTGGTTAGAAAATAAAGTAAAAAGTCCTTTTCGAGCTGTTTAAAAGTCCTCGACAAGTTGGAAAACAAACAATACAAATTAGAGAAGGACATCGCAAAGTTGCATCCGAGGTTACGGCGAGATTTGAACCGGTGGTGGAAGGGCGCGAACTCTTGACCAGGGAGAACATCTACTATGTGACAATTTAGCATTGCAGGACTTGAACATGATACCTTCTGAAACAATAAAATCTTTTATGTTCGCATATAAATTTTTTCTAAAGTTGGTCCATCTGGTTTTGAAATTCAATGACGTAATTAAACTTGAAACCGTTTTTTAAGAACTTGTTTGTATGCTGAAAAAAAAAGCTAGTTTAAGAATGAAATAATATGGCCGAAATGCGAAATCAATGGTTTTAAAAACATCAAAAAATGAAATAACGGATTGAACAATGATGTAGTATGAACCTAGAATTCTTTCTATTTTGAAGTCTCAAGTCAACTTTCAGCTTTTAAAAGCTATCCCTAAGAGAAATGTGAAGTTTTTATATAATTTATAAATATTCTATAAAAAAGGAAGAAAAAAAATCGTCCAAATGTGCGAAGCTAAGCTAGTATTTTTATAATACATTTGTTAGAAATTGTAGAAACAGTTCATTTCGTTACTTAATTAAGCTCTATTAGTATTTCAAATTTCACTATATTTTTCTATTCAGTAAATAGTAGCTGCTCAAGACGTTAAATTATTCTCTTTTATCAAAAAGATTCTATTCGAGTGCAAGTTTATTAGGAATTGGTTACTAAAATGAATCTGAACTACTTTATAAAGATTCTTATAATGAATCTAGCAACACTTTGTAGAAAACACTTCATTGGTAGTTTAAATTAAATTAAAGTATCAATTATTGTTTAACTGTAGCGGTTATTTTAAATTTAATTGTGTTTAAAGTAATAATAATCTTTAGCTAAATCATTTAGTTGGTTAATGAGCAGAAAGATACAATTAGCAGTCAATGAAGATAATTATAATCATAAATCAAGTTAGACAGTTATTAAATGAGAATTATTTTAGGAAACACTGAAGGTAGTTATAGTCATCATAACAGTTGTTATTAATTTTTTAAAGAAAAATAAATATAATGAACAAAAGCATTAAGTGTGTTTCAGAAAAAAAAGTTCTGATTTGGATTTGAAAATTGTACATATTAATAAAATAAGCAACAGTGTACCCAAACTGGTTTTATCATCAAAAAAATCCTGCTGTCTTGTAACTAAAGATTGCTATTTTCACCCTAAGACTTTTTAACATTTAATTCGAAACATTTCATTTTAATTCACAAACACTTTCATCAAACAAGAATTGGTTTAAGCTTTTAAGTAGCATACAAAGTTAGATTTAGTTTCCAATTAAATACTCAATTGAAAGTATACAACAAAAATTAAAAACAAAATTCTAACAATCTTCATGAGGCCAAAAATAAAAATGTGCTAAAACTTGACGTTAAAAGAAAACAAAAACATTCGCGGTAATTGTTTTAAATCAATTTTATATGATTCAAAATTCGAAGTTAAAATCGACGCTCATATAATAAAATATTTTCAGCACGTGCATTTAAATAAATTTATCTAACTTAAAACCAGAGTCATTAATGAGTCAAAAATATGTAGCATGAATAAAAATAGTATGCAATACGAGTTTTAAATGAATTTCATATAGCTAAAAATCAGAGTCACCTGTGAATCAAAAACATGACGCACGAATAGCATGATTTACGACGTACATTAAAAAATGATGATAAAAACAATGGAGCTGGCATGATATTCACAAATTATGGGTGGCAATCAACTTAAAGTTTTTTTTCTCCATATTCCATAAACTGTAAACGCGTAGTTGAACAGAGATATACTCATCACATACAGTTTAGAACAATTCGTAAATAATTGTAATATAGAACATGTTATATCTGTGCAACAGGGTTTCAAAGCAACAAGGGAGATCTTCCATAAAAGTTTTGTCTCGACAAGACACTCAACTGTATAAGGAAGGGACATCGGTCAGCGTCCCACAAGGTTACGATTCATGGATTTGTGCAAATTGTGGGTGTAAATAATTTAATTTTCATGCCTGAGCAGGTTTGTTATCGATTTCGATTCTTGGCGACTTTGGCGTAACAGCTGGGTCTTCAGTCCTTGTTGAAGAACTTTGATCGGTCTTTGCTTTGGTCTTCACACACACGTACACTGGTCTGTATAGTACAACTGTTTCGCCTTCCTCTGGACAACCTAGAGTTCCGTCATACACCTGTCCCAACAGAAACTCCGGTCCTATGTACATTCCACCCTCTACATGATCACAGCACATTTCTGGAAGAAAAAAAAATGTATGAATAGAATCAGAATTAATTTTAAGCAGGATTCAACTGAGTGGATTCAACTCGTACAGTGGTCGCAAGAAAAATATGAGAAGAATTAAAATAAAAATACATTCATTAATGGATAATCAGCATTAAATTCAACTGCCTGACACGAATATTTATCTTAAAAAAATATGAAAAGAATGAGAACAAAATTTCTTACATTTATTTTAAGCATTAGACTCAGTTGGCAAACTCGAACAAATGTTTTNAAGACACGGCTCCCAGCAGATCACCGAAGTCAAGCATCACTGGTTGCGGTCAGTCTGCGGGTGGGTGACCACTTGGATCAGTCTGCGTAGGGATCGAGGGTGTGCGATATGGGTCCTCGTTAAACTGTTCTACCGTGCTAGACTTCGCTTGCAGGTCGTCGGGCTACCGAAGCGGGGGCGCCCTCCCCTCTGCAGAGGATCAAAATTGGGATGGCATGTCTTCGAATCACCCTCAGGGATGTTTCCCAGACCGTCGCCAATAGCCCATTGTTCAGCTCTAGTGCGACGTAAATGAACTACAACAACAACAACTAATAATTGATTTGAGAAAAAAATGGAATAATAATAAAATTTCGTGCATTATTCAGACAAACTTAAACTGGAGAACCTACCTCACTTTAAAAGGGGGGGGGGGAACGAAAAGGCTTGGAATAAAATTCCGTGCAGCCGGCCAGGTGGCCGAGTGGTTAGCGTGTCTGACTACGGAGCCGATGGTAACGGGTTCGAATCCTGCTCAGGGCATGGATGTTTCTTTCTCTCTCTGTGTGTTCCATGTCCTTTCTACTTTGTGTGTGATTGTGTGAATGTGACCTGCCCTATAAACGGGTTTGTGGTTGTGTGACGTGGGCGATACTGCTCCACCGCCGTAGCCTCGCCACAGGTGCCCACTGGGTAACGAGAAGAGAGTAGCAGTTCCGGCATTTCTGTGGCCAATGGGACAATCCCCAAGTGGCCGCCATTAAAAAAAAATAATTTCGTGCATTGATTTTAAGCATTAGTTTCGGTTTCAACAGATAAACTCGAACAAGCTCTTTGATATTAAATAAGAAAAAAATAAGAATAAATTATTGCGCATTTACAATAAACATCAGTTTTTGGCCAAGAAATTTAAATCATAGACGTGAGGAGGAATGACGCATGTAGTAAACATTGACGGAAGTAAAATTTTTTAACAGTTTCTAAACTTAGCCATGACATTAGCTGTTTCAGTTAAAGCATGTAGAGTGTTTTATAATCACCACCCTCAATATATATTTCATGAATTTTTTCCATAAATTAAATCAAAAATACTTTTGAAGGATTATAAAGCAATATTAAAGTGAGGAAAAGAAAGAACACTAATTCCAAAATTAGGCGAATGAGTAAGATTCTAATAAGGTTTCATTAGGAATTAAAAGCATCAAAATTTGTTTGATTAATAGCTTAAATTTGAGTGCGTTTTTTAAAATCACTTTTAAAACCCTTTTTGTTTCTTTGTGCAATAAAATAGTTTTTGATATTTTTAATTCCGTCTTCCACAATAGTGATTTGTCACCGTTTTTATTTTTTCCGACCTTAAAAATTTTTTTTTTTAACTCACTGTATTTTTACTTCACTTTAAAAATAAAATTAAAAGTATACATTAAGGATGGTTATTGTGGAACATCTTGCGCATGATCTAGCTTCAAAAAGCCTAGTAGGTTCATTGAGAGTTCGCTACACACTCTTAAAGTTCGAGCTTAGCGTTTGATAGATTAAAAAGAATGTGCGTGTAGTAGCCCTTGCAGTTTGTGTACACTTTCAAAGTATTTTACAGATATGGAGAAAAAAGGGTTTTGTATCTCGGCATTTTTGTAAGAAGTTTTAGCATCACAATATAATAGGAATGTATATTCATGGTTATCTCAAAGTTAAAAAAAATAAAGAAATGAAAAAAAAAATTTTGTGTAAATTATGAAAGTGTTTTATTAGCTTTGAGGCTACCTATTTTAAATAAATTGTTCACCCATCAAATTTTTTTTTTGAAATTTTTTCTTTCAAAATGCTTAAAAAAATAACAGAAATCAAACCTCTCTTTTCCTCTATCGTAAAAAAAGTTAAATAGTTCAAAAATACAAAATTAAAAAAAAATCTTGACTGTGTGGGTTGATATCAAGGGGTTTACAAAATAAGTACACAAGTTGTAAAAAAACTGACAATAAGTTAATTTATAAAAACAAATTTCTAGGCTTGAAATCGTGTTAGGCTTGAAATCAAATTTTTAAATTACAAACAAAATAAATTTGATCATACCCCACTAAAAATATCTTAAGAATTTCTTCAGAAAAAGTCATTTTCTAAAATTTTTTTAAGAAATCTTCAGATATTTGGAAGATTCTGATTTTTCTTATGCACATTGTTCGTAGACATAGTCCTTTTGAAAGTTTTAATTTAGCTTTAAAATATTTGCAGATTTTATGAAGACATTTCACAAGCATTATGAATTAGAAAAAGAAATCTAATATTTCTTCAAATATTCTTCAGATTAATCAGGGCTTGAGTATTAAAAATTTTTTTTCCATTGGAGTATTATGTTAATTTTCTTTTATTTGACTGACTAAGAAAAAAAAATAGGCGTTATTAATATGGGTAAAAAGATTACTCTTTCTGTGTTATTAGGTTATAATAAAAATGATGATAGTTGATTACATTATTTTCAGCGATTTTGAAAAAACATACATACACATATTTTTGATTCATTTAAAGCAGCAAAAAAAAAAATACATAAAAATTAACATTGCATGAAAAAAATTAGATATTGTAATATATAATGTTATACATCTTTGAAACCAAATGTGTCTGCATAGTTTTCTCAGGAAAAAAATAAGCGAAATTTGTATGTGTACTAATATCTGAAGCCTTCTAAAAAATAAATTTTAAAAGGTATTTATTCTGCTTTTTTAGCTTTTTTTTTTTACAGAAAATTTTAAAAATTTATTCTTAAGATTCTTCTAGAAAATAAAATCTGAAGGTATTCGACCCGCTTTCTAAGCCTAGTTTTGCAAAAAAATGAGATAATTCATTCTGAAGATTTTAACTCTTAATTTAATTTTGATTAATTTTCTTAATTTTAAATTTGAAGATTTCTAATAATCTAAGAGATAATTAGAAATATTCGAACACCAATAGATATTTCATTCCTTCAACACATGAAGAAATTTTTTATAATATCTTAAGTTATTTGGTTATTTGGTCTACATAAACCTATTATATAAGAAAATCTTCAGATTACATAATGAAGATCTCATTATGATTATTTTCAGACTATATTCTCAATAAAATCTTAAGAATGCAGATTTTAGAAGTGAGTCAAGTAGCTTAAAATACCCTCAAGAGTTTTTAATGTGGTAATATAGCAACTTAGTATATAATTATTCAATTTTCCCCTAGAAATATCAATGACCTGTAGCAATGCGGAATTCATTAGAAAAGCTTGAAAATATCCTCAACTTTAATTGCGTACACACTTACCGTATTCAATTTTAGGCTGTTGATTTGAATTGGGAATTCTGAAGGGACAAGTTGCTATAGTAATGGGGAAGTTCATATGAAGGTCGTCTCCAGATTTTTCTAACTCAACCCAAACCTGAAAAAAAAAATAAAAGAATGTAACTACAAAATAAAGAATAACAATTGGTGACTTGCGATTAACGTCATCGCTGTTAAATTCTGTGACTTGTCAATTCAGATGCCAATCAGGTTCAACTAACCCGTGTGACGTCGCTTACAGGTAACCAATTAAATCTGATTTAAGTCACATGGTTAGGCATAATCATTTGACTTCTTCTCGAGATGAAAGTACCAATTGCCGTTCTGAATTTGCAATTCAAACTGATTTAAATAAATTATTTTTAAGTGAATATAGATATGATTTTGAATCACATTTTTGCAGTTCACAAGGCGACTTGGACTAGGCAAGAAATGTAGCCGACTGTTAGCAATAAATTACTTACTGTATTAGTGAATGTATTTCTGAAGTGGCATTTTTTAGAAAATATATCTATTTAGAACAGTTAGAACAGGCGTGCACAGGATATATTTTTAAAACAAGGATTGATTATTGGGTCACCAAGCTGAAAATTCCTTTGATTATTTTTAGGCGTTTTAACTAAGTGAAAATAACTTGCGTCGCAGAATTTATTTTTATAATAAATAGAACTTGGAAAGTACTTAACAAGTTTGCAGAGTCCATGACAACCATATCTCTCTCTTTTAATGAGTAATATATATATATGTATATAAACTTTTAACTAAGAGCTAGACACAAATGATGGGTTAATGAATGCTGAAGTCACTAAGCAGGGAGAACATCTTCAGCCCAGTTCAATTTCGAAAATAAGGCATTAAACTGTCTCTGCGAAGCTTTGGACGTGACACTGTTTTCAAGAAATTTCATTTGAGGCGAAATATTTAAAAGCTTTTTATGATTCCGCTTGGCAACACGCATATGGTTTTAAAGTCAGCGGGAAAAGGTAAGACCACATTAAGTTGAGAAGAACAAGATGTTTTTGAAGCGGAACGAAATATCTCCCCTTTTCCCAGTTCCAATTCTAAACTTTGGTGAAATAAAAATTCTCTTTTAAGAAAGTTTCGGGAGATAATCTAGTAAAAAGCTCCCGCGGAAGTCGAAATTCAAATACAAGTCTGAACACAATCATTTTATAACACAAGGAAAGGCTTTTTTGAAATTGGATATTGAATTTTTGTGGGATGAGGCTAAATTTATTATCTATTTTCTTAAAGATTAAATATCAAGATTTTAGCAATATTAATCTATTTTTCGAAGAAAAAATGATAGTGCTAAATTTGAATATTTGTTTTTAACACTTGATTTATAAAACTTTTTAAATGGAGTAGATTTTGTATGGGCATAAGGATTAAAAAATCTCAAAATTTTTTCATCGCTCTTTCGGGGCTTGTTGGTCAACAAAATACATGCCTGAATGAAATTTTTACATACCTATACATGTTTTTCGATTACATAGTAATGAAAACATATAGAGGCATCCTTTTACTTATCTTTCGAAAAAAGAGAAGAAGATATTAATGTCATTACATCTACATCACAACCATTTTATTTCAAATGCTAACTAAAATGTGTTTAGTACTATCAACAACGAAGTATTGTTGTTTTTAATATCACTTGGTTGGACCAAAATCGCTCGCCATTGACCATGCTCATCACGGATCATTAACTCAGGAAGGAGCGCCTTTCGTTTCTCAAAATCTAGGAGGAAACCTCCAGAAGGAAAGTTCGAGTACGCTGGATAGATGGCAGCACCCCTCATTTGTGATTTCCCTCTCACAATTTAGACATAGAACTGAAGTGGAAGGAAATTTTCTCCAAATCTTTGCTCCCATGGCTCAGCGACCGAGTCCAGGACTTTCGAGTAAGACCCATCTAATATATCGCATACACTCGTTGGGTCTGAGCCACTTCGAGGATTGAACCTCGGCCACTCCAGACCGAAGTCAGATGCCCTAACTACTGGGTTACCACGGCCAAACAAAAAAGTATTTAGTATTAATGGCGAAATATTAAGAACAAATGAGCATTGGAGTAAATAAAGCAGATGACATATGGGAGATAAATGAGAAAGTCATTTTAAATAAGTTGTCGTTGTGCTATTGAAACAAAACTGAAACTCACGATAAATGTGTCATAATTGTGAAAGAGACTTAAAATAAGTCGTCTTTGTACCATTGAAACAGAACTGAAACACACGATATATGTGACATAGTTGTGAAAGTGACATAAAATAAGTCGTCTTTGTACCATTGAAACAAAACTGAAACACACGATATATGTGACATAGTTGTGAAAGTGACATATAATAAGGCGTCATTGTACCATTGAAACAAAACTGAAACACACGATATATGTGACATAATTGTGAAAGTGACATAACATAAGGCGCCATTGTACCATCGAAACTCACGACATATGTTGTTATTTTATTTTTATAACCGTTGAACAGCCGACCCAATTTTGGGTTTACGACAACTAATGTTCAACTCCACAGCCTTGTAATTTTGAACCAATCCAGAAGACAAGGAAACTCCTGGATCAGTATCCCCAGAGGTATGATTTGTTATGGGAACATGGAGGACACGGATGACAGATTTAACGTGCATCAGTCACGATTTACTACACGGGGAGTATTTTTTGTTCCAGACTATAGTTTTCGAAAATTGTAATGAAAAGAAGATGGCGGTCGCATTTATCGTACACGCGAAGCAGTTGAAAAAACAATGCTTACCTTTAGGACATAATATATTTGAAGAAGTCTACAAACACCTATTAGAGTTGGAGGCATGACTGGAACTACAAGGCTGGATGAGCTGTCAAATTTGGACCTAGTGTTTGGACTTATTGGGTCACCTCGATACTCTAGTACCGTGTGATTGGCTTCTTTGGTGTTGCCCAGCACACCTCTGTCGATGAAGAACTCTACATACTGCACAATTAAAAAAAACAATTGCATTAATATAAATTAAGGAGAAAAATTAAAAGAACTGAAAGAAGCTATAGACTGTAAGTAATTTTCTTAAGATACTTTTTGTTAACATATACTATGAACTAGATGATTATTTTTTAAAACTAGGCAATTGTTCATTTTGTTACGATTAACATATAAACAAAGTAATATTTCATGGAGCTGCGATAATTATATACTTTGAAAACAAAATAGTTTGCGTGTTTTCGGTAAATATTGACATCTAAGAGGGAAAAAACAAACAATGATGAATGAAGAGCAATTACGGTGTTGGTGAGCTGAGCGAGCAGATGGTGGAACCTCCGATTGAAGCAAAAAATAAAATGCTCATTAAGCATTTCAAATTAATATTCAACTGAAAATTAAGTACATTATTTTTGAAAGTTATGAAAATGAATTATGATACTGAAATTTTTATAGGAAGAGCAAAGGAGAGTTTAAAATGGCTATAGAAACATTTTTTATCTTGAGCTGGAATACATACGTCTATCTTTAAGAATCACCCGTGATCTTCATCGAAAAATAAACTTGTATTAGTTTGTTAAGATCCCTCCTTTGCTCTTATTTACCACAATAATGATTGATCAAAGTTAGGAAACCGTTCAGTTCTTGTGCACAGCTTTTTTTAAGGATTCTAAGAGTAATCGGCCTGGGAAACTCGGAGAACTTACGAACCTTAAGCTATTGATTAATTCGCCAGGTTTATTTTTCTATTTATAGTTTGTATAGTGAGATGTTCAGTTCTTTGGAAAGCTATCGAATAATTAAACGCTTGTATCGGACAATCGAACACTTTGTAGAATACTTTTTGCGTCCTTTCACTTGTTGTCAATGTCAGATGTCGGAACTTTTACTCCATCAGTAGTTGCTTCTTTCAACAGTATCTTCTGATAATGTCTGGTAAAGCTATAATCTGTGCTAGGTATCTAGATTGCTGTTGGATACCCAGAATTCTCAGACTATCAGTCTTCGGAATACCCGTTCACTCCCTTTAATTTTGGTGATAACTGTTATCATCAAGTAAATTTCTTTTAATCACTGTAAAAATTAGGAAATTAAATAAGGTTATTACCTAAAAACTGGTTGTTTTTCTAAAAATATGAAGAAAAGGAAGAAATAAATCAAGGAAAGGAACATGTTTCTTAAAAAATAATAATACAAATAATAATAATGATAGACAAATAATTGAATTTTTAAAAAATTTAAACTGAAACAGAAAACAAAGAGATATCATCTTGTCGTCAGCTCGCACGATTATATCCGCAAAATAGTGTTTCCTAATATTGTATTAATACAGAAAAGCAAAATATATTAATACACTAGAGTGAGGATAAAATAAAAAAAATCAAGTGAAAAATCCAAAACAAAACAAAAATTCAAGAAAAATATAAAGTAAAGCACAAATAGGAATGTATAAACTATGAGCGAGAACAGATTTACTGACAACTGGCAAAAATGAGACCAGTTCGAAAAAGAAAAGAAAAAAAAACTGAAATAATATCAACATCTTACCTGAACAAGTTTAAGCTTAATCCTGAGGACTTCTTCACTTTGGTTATCGATGTCTGCTTTCAACCTTATACTCTCACCGCAGCAGTAGGCTGATCTTTCGAGGTTGGCACGGACGCTAACTACACCACGACGACAGCATAAGCAGCACGTTGCTCTCTGGTCTGCCGCCATCAATGGTTTCTGCAATACAATTGATTCATTGATTGATGAATTATTTGATTTTAAGACCGAACAAACAATCTACAGCAATGAGGTTGAGAGGGAAGTAATCGAAGATTTCGATGCATGCGATTTGTTTTGCATACAAAGCAGTAATGTTAAACTGCCAAGATGCTTCGTTTTCATACAGGAAGCGACCACCTACAGTTTATATTTTAAGAAGAAATGTAGTATAGAACTGTGTGGTTTTTACTCATAAGTGTACACGGTTTTTTTACTACATTTCTCACAAGAATTCTGAAAGTATAAATTGTAGGTTGTCGTGAATTCCACGTTTCTACAGCATATTTGATTCATTGATTTATGAATTATTTGATTTCAAAAACAAACAAACAATCTACAGCAATGAGATTGAGAGGGAAGTAATCGAAGATTTCGATGCATTCGATTTGTCTTGCATACAAAGCAGTAATGTAATGTATAATTTTTTTACTACATTTCTCACAAGAATTCTAAAAGTATAAATTGCAGGTTGTCGTAAATTCCACGTGTCTGCAGAATAATTGATTCACTGATTGATGAAATATTTGATTTAAAAAACAAACAAACAATCTAAAGCAAATTAATTGAGAAGGAAATGATCGCAACGATCGAAGATCTTCGATGCATGCAATTTGTCTTGTATACAAAGCAGCAAATATTAGACTGCCAAGATTCTCCGTTTGAATTTTTTAGACGGTAAAACCTTGACTCCAAATAAGGAGATCAAAAATGAACCGGTTCAGGCTTTTGCCGGCAAAGAACGAAAATTTGATATGTATGGAATTATGCTAATGGAAGAAATACGGCACGTATCGACCAGCCATCGAATCTGAGCAATGGTTGGTCGATACGAATTCCGCACCCGGGATTGCACCGACCACTGTGCTAATGTAAAATATCCTCAGCGTAGACTAATTATGGGTTAGAGTCCCTCTTGCCATCAGCTAATCGTGAGAGGTTCCGCTCCATGTAACACAAATGCGGGATAGTTCCATCAGTCCACGAAGGCAAATTTCTCACAATACTTGATCCATGAGTTCCCTTGTCTACTGGATTGGGTTCAAAATTACAAGGCTGCGGAGTTGAACATTAGTAGTCGTAAACCCAAAAAATCGGTTCGGCTGTTCAACGAGGGTTATAAAATAAAAATATAAAATAAAACACTAATATAAAAATATTTTTTCTCCCCCTTTATGTCACGTTTTCGCCCCATATAAAAAATTTTCTTCGAAATTCGGAAGGGTATTATAAGTGTTTTACGGTCTTTCAGATTATCGATATGTATTGTATTTTCTTTTAAAAATTAGACTGTGTAGTAAATATTGAAACGAATTTGAAATTTGACCAAAAACGAAATTGAAAAGAATGAAATAAAAATTGAAAGTAAAAAATGCATGCGCTGTCGAAGTTTTTACTTGCCCCAGGTAGGACGAAAAAAAATTAATTTTTTTCTCGAGCCCTAGGCTAACTTGATAGGCTGATAGAAGAAACAAAATTTCATTGGAAGTTTTTTATTTGAATTGATTTCTGTAAGTTCATAATAATTAGTAAATTTTTAAACCGATTATAATTAGTTATACTGAAAAAAAAAGTTTTTACGTTTTCTATATTTAAAGCAATGAAGAAAATTAGAAAAAGGCTAAAACATTATTGCACAGGTTGCAATAAAGATTGCATCCAACTAGGTGAATTTGAAATGAATTACTAAGAGTGATGAATAGAGATAGATCTCGTTGTATATCAGAGATTCGTTGTATATCAGAGGTGAATTTGAAATGAATTACTAAGAGTGATGAATAGAGATAGATCTCGTTGTATATCAGAGATTCGTATTCGTTTCAATTTAAGTTGTAAGTAGAAATACCCAATTTCTTTTTGTACCCCTAGTCAATTTTCATTATCCCCTTTGCAGAGAAACGTGACCGGTTAGAATGTTAGGTGATTATTTATCTACAGGGAATTTCGTAATTTATTTTCTCTTTCTCTTTCCCCCCCGGAACTTGCAATAGAAAACTTACGTGAGTTCGTTTCTTTTCAAGGAAATCTTTCGAGATCAATTAAATCGATCCTTGTATAAAAGAAAAAAAAACCGATTTCATTCTGTGGTTTTGTGAAAATCGAAAAATATAAGGGAACTACTATATGAAGAAGACCATAATTAGAGGGCTGGGTTATAATTATTGGGCCTTTTGGGCATAATGGAACCAGTAGGTATTTTTGTTAATAATTATTGTTAATGAATTTTTACAATCTTTTCATGATTGCCGTTGGAATTTCGCGGCGATTTTTTTTCACGATTTTTACAGTATAGCCTAATTGCGTGTTAGTTTCACCAAAACATTCTCCATGGAGACTAGTTTGTCCCAATGCTTGATCTCGAGCCGCGATGGCTCAGGGGATAGAGTGTTCGCCTTCCTATGAGATCAACCGGGTTCGAATCCCAGTGGTGGCCAGTCGATACGAATTTCGCATCCGGCTTGCACCGACCACAGTGACGTGAAATATCCTCAGTGGTAGACGGATCATGGGTTAGAGTCCCCTTGCCGTCAAGTTAACCGTGGGAGGTTCTTGTGGTCTTCCTCTCCATGTAGCGCAAATGCGGGTTAGTTCCACCAAAAAGTTCTCCAAGAAGGCAAATTTCTCCCAATACTTGGTCCAGGAGTTCCCTTGTCTTCTGGATTTGGTTCAAAATTACAAGGCTACGGAGTTCAACATTAGTAGTGGTAAACACAAAAATTGGGTCGGCTGTTTAACGATGGTTATAAAATAGAAATAAAATGCTTGATCTGGGAGTTCCCTTGTCTCCTGGGTTTGTCTCAAAATTATAAAGCTACAGAGTTAAGCATTGAAAGCTGTACACCCAAAACTGGGATAGGTGTTCAAAACTGACTATGAAATCCTTTTATGAGACCCTCGGTGGCTTAGTGCAGTGGTTCTGAACCTTTTTAAGCCGCGACCCAAATTTGCGGAATATGTTCATGTCGCGACCCAAAAGAAAGTCAAAATTAGGCTGAGTAGACCACAATGACTTCTTCTAGGAGGTGTTGGTATTACTTATTATTTGGTGTATTACTAACTTTTTTGGTTCGACTCAGCGCGACCCAAGAAATATGCTTCGCGACCCAATTTTGGGTAGCGACCTATAGGTCAAGAACCGCTGGCTTAGTGGATAGAGCGTTTGACTCTGATCACATGAGGTGATCAGGTTCGAATCCTAGCGATAGGTGATTGTTTCGAATTCTACTTCCGGCTCGCACAGACTAAAGTTCTGACATAAAATATTCATAGTTATGTCGGCAGGTCATGGGTAAGAATTCCTTTGATGACCGGCAAACCTTGTGAGATTTTCGTGGTTTTCTTGTACATGTCATGCAGGTGCGGGTAATTAAATCAAAAAGTCCACCACCAAGGCTAGTTTGACTCAATGCATGATCTAGATTTTCCCTTGTCTTTTGGGTTGGGTTCACCACAACAAAGATACAGATTGATAGCTGTAAACTCAGAAATGGGTTGGTTGTTAACATCCATTACAATAAAATCCTTTTATGAAAGCTGTAAAACTATGCGATGTTAAAGCTAGTTTTTTTCATAAGAAAAAGATATTATTCAAACAACATTGTTTTGGAAGCCATTTTAAACTTCGGCTTCTAGACTAACCATTAAAAATAATCACTCATATTGACGTTTTAAAAAACTGATATCTACCTGCGTTAATGAACTGTTTTGTTTAAAAGCTAAATTGTTTTTGACAAACTAAGCGCATTTGAGGCTTGAACTAAACACATTCACAATAACATCTATATGCACTTGTTTGTAATTCCTAGTCTATTAATTGAATGATTAGTTACAGATTAACTTTGATTTAAGTTTAGTTATCTAGGGTTAAAAGGAATTTTAATTTAACTAAATTTTAAAGTGCAATAATTAAACATCGTGAAAGAATGGCAAAATTATAGAGTTCATTAATTATAGTGATCTGCAATGCAAATAAAAATAAAAATAATAATTTATTTTTGTCTCAAAATTTTGATATTGCAACCTTTTACATTAGAATTACATGGATCGCTTATTCCTGAAAAGTGAAACCTAACACGATCCATTTGGAAGCGAAATCCATAAAATATAGCTGAACATTTATACTTCTGTCTGATGCGAATTTATGTCCCTTTTCAATTCAACCATGATCGAAAGTGGATATTTTTCCAGAAATTCAGGATTGGAATCCCCGAATCTGACCTACATCTTGAAAGGATAAAAATAATAAAAGAAATACTGAAACAAATCTCCCAATCTTGCTAGGAGTCCATAAAAATTCGGTTAGCACGACAGTGAAACGTGGAAGTAGGGGTTAAAAGAATATATTATGACCTCGCTAATATCATCTTTTTTTATCTTAAAATGAAAAATTATTTCTAAATAAACGTAGCAGAATCTTTTATTTAATATTTAACCACGGAATTTGGCCCTCCTTTTTGCAAGATTTTAAAATTAAGTAACTGTACAGCAAAAAGACCAAAAAGTTGTTTCAAAATAAACGCAACAAACCTTTTTTTAACATCCTGAAGGAAATCCATTAGGTTAATGAAACAAAAATTTTATAACACTACTACGCATCAATACATAAATAATGCATCAATATACAAAATAAATGCATCAGTGTAACAATATGTAACAATGATTCAATATACACCGAAGAGCCATTACAACTTCCATCTATAACAATGGGCTCGCCCAGCTTTTCATGGTTTCTCGCCCAGGAACAATGTTTTCATGCGGCACATTAGGACCCATAATCCTCATCGAACAATTCTTGACGTATGTAAGTTACTTGAACATAGTTGCAGACCAAGTTCACCCATTCATGGTAACAGTTTTTCCTGCGGGGGATGGTGTTTACCAACAGGATAATGCACCATGTCATAAGGGTCGAATCGTAATGGATTGGTTCGAGGAACATTCCAGTGACTTTCAAGTCATGT